TCCTGAGGTTCATCTGCCGGGGCCAAGCACGCTTGGACGGTGGCAGCGAGGTCCTCAGGACGTAGATGGATTGCCTTACGGGCTAACGAGCTCCATCTGCCCGGGGAGGGGCCCCGACCGGGAATCGAACCCGGATCTCTGCAGTGACAGTGCAGTGAATTTTCCCCTGGACCACCGGGGGCTCCCTATATTCCAATTACTTGGTGCATAATCACCATGTATTTAACATTTTGCAGGCTCATGCGTTTCAATAGAAATAGGTGTTCCCTTTTCTGCTCTGTTAATCCTGTCAAATATATGATGATATACTTGACAACACCTGCCACAGTTGTTATATGCAGCTGTGATTCCCTCCTGAGAGGACACCACACAGGTGGCATTTAAAAGCTGGAGACAAACTTTTTTTACAACTTTCTGAGTTCCTGCAAGGGGCTCCTGGTGCTGCAGGTGATCCAGAACCCAGCTATGACAGAAACCAGAAAAACGGAATTTCATGAACAGCAAAGAGGAAAGGAAAAAAAAAAAAAAAAAAAAAAAAAAAAAAAAAAAAAAAAAAGGAAGAAAAAGAAAGAGAGGGAATTGGCATATCCCCTCTGTGTTCACAGCAAACCGAGGTCAGGGTTGGGTTTCCCAAGGTCCTGCCAAGTACCAAATCAGATCTGTATAGAGTGCACAGAGTCATCAGCAATAGACATTTTGCAGATTTACAGAACATTTACAAAGGCTCGTTATAAGGATGGGACTTTAAGGCACAATAGTCCATATACTCAACACATTCATTGAAAACAAAAGTTCAATTTACAGTGCAATATAAATGTATTCAAGAACTCAAGCGGCAGCTCGATAATCACTTTCACTGATAATGAGGCAAGTGAGGAGAACCAGCAGCCCCAGCCTGGCACGGGCTTATAGACATGCTGAGCATCAAGCACACGAGGAGCCTCTTGGGCTTAGGCAAGAGGGTCTGTGCAAGGAAATTGGATGATAACTGAAGCATTTACAGGATCAGGGCCCTAATATCATAGAATCATGGAATGGTTTGGATTGGAAGAGACCTTGAAGACCATCCAGTTCCAACCCCCCCACCATAGGCAGGGGGCACCTTCCACTAGACCAGGTTGCTCAAGCATTATTGGGGTTCATCACCAGGTTGTACAGGCAGAGACATGACACCCACACTGTGCCCCCCATGGAGCCACCCCACTATCAATCAACATGTCCAGCCAGGTAGGGAAAAGCAACACAAAGAAAACTTAACTCATAGAAACACTAATTACAGCCCAGCGTGCTGCTATTCCAAGGTGAAAATGAACTGTCCTAAGCCAGTCATTTTCAAAATGATCAGCTCTCATCACCGGGTCTGTCCTTGTCACCCAGCTCATTTATATTCTCTCCAATGAATATTCTATCTCCAAGGCAACTGAGTCAAAGGGAAGGAAGGACTTTCTTTACATCCAGTGCAAACATAGCCCATATGTAGGAGTTCCTAATGCAGTCATAATAAAACATATATATATATATATATCTCACTGAAAGTTGACCACCTACAGACAGATTCACACATCAGAAGCCAGAAGAGCTGAATTCTAGCTACAAACCACATAAAGAAAAATCACTGTATGTAACTGTATTAAAGTGCTGGTACCCAGTAACTTGGTAACTCAATGTTAAAATCAGTATATAGTTCAAAAGCTGTCAAATTAAATATTTTGGGAGTCACTTGCAGTGCTATTGCACCTCTGTACTTCTTTATCATCCCATAAACTATGTTTTTTAAGTACTAAAGTAGAATCTTTCAGATCCACTTTCCAACAGGACCAATCACTGGGCAAAGTGGAAGGCAGTAAAAACTAAAGTAGACTTAAAACATTTAGAATTGGAGACCTTTGATTCCATTTAATAAGTCAACCAAACAAAAGCGATTTGTTCTCTAGAAAGAAATTATCCATTCGAACAGCTTCTAGAGCAAGTAAAAGTTAAAAAATCGGACAATGTTTTTTGTTCAAGAAAACAACACATGAGAAAAACAAGAGTAAAAGGTCATCCTCTTTCCTAGGAGTTTTGTGATCTGATGCAGATTTTTGTCTATTATAGGTGTTCAGTTATCTTAACACCTTATCAGAGAAGCTTTCAAGAGGCAAAAAGGTATTTGCCTCTTCCAGCAGGCAAAGAACCTTTCCCAAGATGAATCTGACAGGGTCAGTGTGGTTTTTTTTTACGTGAGGTTAAAGATTTTGATCCTACTGAGCTTTTTTTCATTTCACTGAAACATTACTGATTTTAAGTTAAAAGTTTTGTTTATTCAAGCCAGCAAATCCTACGAGTATAATAAAGTCAGTCAGTGAGAAAAGAAGCGTTTTAGCATTTCACACAGCTGCTAGATCATTATGAATTCAAGTGAAATGGACATGAAGAGGAAAAAAAAGCATAAATCAGATCAATTCAGAGTGGAAAATTACATGGTTTGAAAAATCAGAAGACAGGAGCAATTTTCCTTTGCTGCCATCGCAGCCCTAAAGGCAGCACGAGGCGTGTGAGGTGCCCGCAGAGGCCAGAGAGCTCCCTGGGGGATAATGGCACCTCTCACAACACCCTTCCTCTTGCCAGCCCACAGCCCACGCAGCAGATGGGCTTCTCTGCCAGCTCTTACTGGTGGTACTGGGGCCGCTCCTCACACCTGATCATTAGCCTGGCCTCTCTCAGCCCCCTGATGAGGTGGGCATGGCTGCCTGCAGCTGGAGATTTCTTAAACCGTACCACATGAAAACTTAACCATTCCCATGATCTGGGGCTGGTGCAAGCCCAGGGCAGCAGGAATCAACCACACATAGCCAGGCAGCTCTGATGCTGAACTGCACTGACCAAGGATTTAAAGATACCATTTTGTACAAGACAAGTAAACATGCCTCGTCTCAAAATAAAAAATAAAACCTGAACATTCATCATGACTAACAGCACCTTCCAAACAGCACAGCCCTGTTTTTCCAGCCTTCCCACAGTATCTGTGCTGTTTATATTCTCCAGTTTGCAGGTTATCCTTATTTTGAATTGCACTGCTGCCTTTTTTTATTATTATTTAAAAAAAAATAAAATCTGGATTTTACTGCTTCCTTCTATCTCTTATACCTCTACCACCTTCTAACCACTGATACCAGAGAAACTTTGTTCTTCACACCTCTTGCTTTTGCCTTCCTGCCTTTTCTCCTGCACTAACGTGCCTGAGAGCTGTGATGATACGTGCAACACACATGACTACGATGCTCTAAGCAGGGTGACAGGAGGAACCTGACACAAAGCACGTTCCTGGCAAGCCATGGTATTTGTTCATACTGTATAATGCTTCAGAAATAGCATCAGCCACATCTGCACGAGCAAAGGCTTTCAAAATAATAATAATAAAAATTAGGTTCTTTTATATATATATATTTCTGCCTCCAGCTGAGTGTGCGCTATTATTTACTTCGCTTTAAAGCTTTAAAGTGGTGATAGCCAGCGAGGCAAAGCCAGTTTCTTTGCTGTAAGCCAACAGACCTGCAGGGCTTTGACAGGCTTTGAATCATCTTCTGCATTATTTGTTCAGCAATTCTGGGATGCAGGTCACCCGTGGGTGAACTGCAGGTGTATCTCTAACGGCTAATTTACAGGCTCGTTAATCACATTTCCCCAGATTATAGTGCAATCTTTGCTTTTGACCCCATTGCTGGAGCATCATCTTTTCCCTTGTGTTACTCTTTGGTATTTTCATGACGTAGCTTTGGCAGCTGTAAAACTTTCCACTTGTAGTCATTCCGTTTGCTGAACATCTCGCGTGTCGTAGCTTGTGAAATACGTATTTACATCTTCTAAAGTTAATTCCCAGATTGGAAATTAGACATTTCACTTAACCTGAAACATTATTACTAATGCTGAGCAATTTCACCAGAACCTCTGAGGCCTTATCAGCATCTGTCAGATACATTCATTCTCTATCTACGAGGGTTATCATTGCTTTTCTGCCTGTTATATTCCACATAAAAAGAAATTGCTGTCTATTCCCTAGCACTAGTGTGAACCTCGGGCCAAACAGCAAAATTAGCATGCAAAGAAGTATCAGGGAAACAGCTAGGGAAAGAGGCAAATGAAGTTAAGGGAACACCAACGATGGGCTGAAGAAACAATCTTTCCTGTGAGTCATTCTGGTTCTTATTAAAATAGCAAAGTAGATACCAGCTAAGAGATAATGTAAGTAAAAGATGAATGCAATCATTTAAAAAAAAAAGACAAAAAAACAACAACCCACAAACCCTTGCAAATCTCAGTATAGAGTACCTTGTAAGTAGCAAGCGAGTTCAGTCTCTGAAAATCCTAAACTAAAGGCTGATTCCTTTGGCACTGACTCCTCCATGGTCAAAGCATTTCTCAAAGAAACTTTCTAGCTATAACTTTACAGAAGATAACTTGGGTTTTACTCCTCACTGTTAGACTACTCCACTGCTTTGGGCGGTTCCCCTTCCACCAGGGATGGCGTAATTTAACTGTAAGAGGGATTTGGAACGTCTGTATCTACACACAGGGAACTTAAAAATGCAGCTTTGTTTCTACAAAGCGCGCTGCACGCAGTCTCTGCGGGTAAGGACCTCCGTATTGCACCAGCTCTGTGTGTACAGCAAGGTACTTCACAGCCGGGGGGTTTAACAGCGGGGGCTGCACAGCATTATCCAAAGTACCTTCCACTCAGCTCCCAACGCATCCGCCTTTCATCTGCAATTAGTGCCTCACCTTAACACCTCGGTAAGCAGTTCAAGCATTCAGAAACAAACATCAGTGGGTCTAACAGCTACTTTAATTCATTTTATAAATAAGCAACTGAGAATTTTGCTCCAGGTGGCTGCCCGTGTAGCCCATCCCGTAAACGGCGTTCTCTGCAGAGTAAGGCACGATGCGATACGAGTGCAGCTCTTCATAATAGAGCGACTGGGAACAGCACTCCTGCACCATAAACTTCAGCCGTTTTCGCGCGTCAGAGTAAGCAGTCCTATAGCACGGAGCCTCCTTAAAGTATTCATAGCTCTCCCTCTCTGTCTCTAGGTGAATCTTCCTCAACAGATTGTTAATTAGTACAGACCTACGGAGATAGGCTTCGGGGTCGTCCAGGAAGCGGAGTTTCTGGAGAGACAGTTTTAGGATACAAGTCCGGTCCTCTGGTAATATCAAGTGCTGGGGGGTAAAGAGCAAGTGAATGGGCCTTTAGAAGCAAGGAGTGAAACTGGGGGAGGATGGGGTCTGGAATCAGAGAGATACTCACTTTTGGACAATACTCATGGTAATCTTGATGTAAATGTTCTTCTTCTGCATATTTTCTCTTAAAGTAGGCTACTTTCGACGTCGTTAATGTCTTTGGTAGGCCCTGATCAGACCAGCTCTGCACAAAAGAATAAAAAGAAAGTCAGTACTGCTTGCTGCCATGGTGGATGTGACATCACAGCCTGGGGTGTGTAGGGGAAAGGGGAGTCTGGAGGGGGGATGCAGCCAGGGGGACACTCACCCTCGACCTGCAGCCTTCAACGCACTGGAAAAACAACTGAGAGGCTGGCAAATATGAAGGCACTTCTGAAACAACCACCCTGAGGCTTATCAGCACAGCAAGCCCCTCTCTGGAGCGACCACCATATCACCAGGCACTGACCCAGTGGGGTGTTCTGGCCAGCCATGACATCACAGAGCAGGCGAGATATGCCCAAGGCGGGAAGGTCACCGTGAGGAGTGACTGGGATGGGACCATCCATCTGCAGGACAGGCCCCTGTGTCACGCTGTGGGGTGTGCAGGCCAAGGGATGGAGTTTGATTTCCACAAGCCATGCACAGAGCTCTGTGGCTTCCCTGGAAAACCAATACAGAGCATATTCACTAGATGGTAGTGTCGCCTCAGAGAAGCAGCAGAGCCCCAGTTCAGTGGGAGGGGGATGGAGTTGGTTTGTTCTCCTTGTTGCTTCAGTTTTTTAGGACACACAGGATGAAGGTTCAACCTTTGGGCTAAGAGAAGGAACTATAGGGCTTTTCTTTTGTCCTGTGAAAAGATCCCAGTGGAGGTCTGGTCCCCCACAGCAGAGCCCTGCAGAGGACTAGGGCACCCTGTGCTCCCACAGGTGGGCCTAGCTGGCTGTTCTTAGCTCCGTCATCTCCATGGAAAGGTGTCATGGGGCTAATTCAGCATCTTAATGAGGTCCTTAACTTCAGTGGTACTCAGTCTGGTGAGCACTGGGTCTCTGTAGGAGCCAGGATTGGTCTTTGCTTGGCTATTCAGTAGACAATACGAGGGGGCATGTGCATTTGCAGGAGGCATCATCTCCCACACCCTATCTTTTATAAGAAAATTCTGTTGTTTACTTTTAAACGTACCATTTTTAAAAAAACTTACTATGTTGATGTCTAAAGGCAATCCAGGGAAAGTATTCAGACTCACTTCACAGAATAACTCAAAGTCAGGTCCTGTGGGAAATACTTTCTTCCCCAAATTGAGAGATTTCCTTATGGTAGCATTTGAAACTTCATTTTTCTGAGGAAATAAAGGATTTGGTTCTGGACCGCTTCCCTGCCACAGCAGAAAAGTCAAAAGGTGTTGCACAGCCAGAAAACAGACCTCCCATCACTGGAAGGATCCGGCCATGGGTCATAAGAGACTCCTTGAGTCATAGCTGCAGGTGGGAGTAATGAGATACCCACACAACCATTTCAAGGACTGACAGTATCTCTCCTTCACTAGCAGGAGGGAGCAATGTGCTCTCCCTTCCTTCCTTCCTTCCTCAAACCCACAAGAAGGGGCTGAAGAAGAAATTTCCTCGCACAAGAGTCTTCTTGTATTTTTTTCCTGAATTTCAAATTGGTGAGGAGGGAGATTTCTCATAAAGTATGTTACAGATCTTTGCAGAAAACTCCTGACTGGTGGATTAACAGCCCATTTGGAGTCGAGACCCCTCAGCCTTGCTCTGGGACCCATCCCAACATGGACTGAACAAAACATCAGCATTTCTCTGGGTGATGAACTATCGCTCTTGCAGCAGGACAACACTACATTCTCATCGCCCTGGACCACCACATGCATCAGAGATGCTCCCTGCACCCACCTCAGCTCTCAAGGGCAAGGGCACAGTTGTGGTCTTCACCACTCCATTGGCATTGAGAAGCTGCAAAGACTGGTTCAAATTCAAATGCAGCAACCTTCGCTGCTTGCAGGTTTCATTCCACCATTTGAGTTACACCAGAGCTCTGAGAGCCTGGACATTTAATTACTCTGACATTAGGTTCTCCTAGGTGGAAACCCCACTGCTGTCTTATCTGAGCACAACAAATGTGTTTATCTCCCAGTGCCATGGGATGAGTTACAGTTTTCCTCACGCTTCTCCAAGAAAGACAAAGGTATAGACACATGAAGTGACATTCCTGTAGCCACCCAGGCTGTCAGGGCTGGGAAAGGAGCCAAACCCAGCACACGGGTAGATGAGTCAACCACGGACCCATCCTTTCCCTCAAACCAAGACTCTAAGTGCTCTAACTTGCTCCCTAGAGTTTTTCAGGGAAAAAGCTGGGAGCATGGCCCTAGTACTGCCTGTGTGAAGCAAAAACAGAAAATCAGCCTGAGTGCAGGGGCAACACATACAATTGCAGTGCCAGAGCATCGTGGCTCAGTTCTGCAGCTCCATTAGCACCGCACAAACCTCTCCTTTGCTGCTCCAGGCCACAGGAATTTCTCTCCCTGCCCCAGAGGATGGAGGGTGAAAGCATACCCCGAGCACAGGTGGTCCTGGAGATACCAGCGAAGAGCAGAAAGCCAGGACAAAGGAAGGAACACTGTCACCCTGACCCTGGGAGGGAGGGAGGGGGGGAAGAAAGGCTGTGTTTAAGCACATGCCACAGGACGGGGGCTGCTGCTGGCTGGCAGGAGCAGATGGAAAAATTGTATTTTGCTGAGGGACATATACGACCATCCTGGCATCACTGAGCATCCAAATGGCACCCCTTTTGTGGGCTTATGTTCAGCATCAGCCTGGGATGTTCCCACTGGGTGCAAAGGGTTGACTGCATTTTAACTCCTAAAGACCTTACACTGGCTAAAGCAGCAGAGCTGTAACACCCCCCGCCACACACACCCATAACTTAGTTTAGGAGCCAGGAAGGGAAACAACCAAGCAAACACCAAGAGCATCTCTAGGCTGTAAGTTTGGTTTTAAATGTGTTCCCAGTTTTAAATGAAAGACTACACTCTAGGAGCAAAGTAGCCCCAAGCTGCTTGACACCACACCAGCTGTGAGCAAATCCCAGCAGTTCCAAATCTGCAGTGCCTGGGGCACTCACTTTCCCACACCAGCTCAGCTGCTACCTTCCTCTCTCTGGGAGGGAAGGGGTGCTGCCTGCACACCTGCAGCTATAGGGTGAGAAAGTGAGCTGAAGGCAACCAAATCCCATCCCAGGGCTGCTCCACAGAAGTTCGAGGTCTGCTTCTGTGCTCAGTGTAGCTACCACCCCACCACCACCAGTCTCGTTGTCTCCATCATGTTTTGTGGCTGCTGGTGATGTCCACACACCTGTCTGCAGGTGCAGGAACTGTGAGAGCATGAACTGTGCCTTTCATTGTGCCCTCGACACCAGCACGGACGCTAAAACCTTCCAGGGGCCCCTCTCCCTGCAGGAGGCTCACAAGGACCAAGCCTTTCTCTAACACTTATTGAAAGTCAGCGTGCACTGGCTCTGTGCGTGCCTGGGAGCTGCTTGGCTGGGGTTACAGGCTGTAGTAATGCCGCAGTGAATCAGACCCTTGGTGTTTTGTTTAAATATAAACATATTGAATCAGTGCTTTTTGTGTAGAAGGCTATTCTCGCGAGCCAAGTGTTTTGACAGCTACAGCAAGGTGGTATGAGTCACTGCCTCTGCCTCACTCAAGCTCAGAGACAGATACATCTTAATCACATTACGTTTTTTCTCAGCGTTACACCACAAGTCAAGGCACGGGGCCAAATTTCCCCACGGGGAGACTAACCAGTGGAGCGCTGAGCCCTGAGCCTGGGGTTTGTCCTTCCAGCCTGGACGAACCTTGGAAAAGCACATTCAGCATCCCGGCAGCGTTCAGCCGCAAGCCCTCTGCTGCTCACCAAGGACTCGGTGCAATTTCCAGCGGCGGGGAAGTGCTGCCAAGGGCTCGGGAGCCCCAGGGCAGGCGCTGCTGCTCACGCTGCCCGGTGCTTACACCCCGCCGGTGCCGTGCCTGCTCTACATGCGCGGCACATCAGCACATCGGAGCACGGCGGCTGCAGCTGCCATTAGCGCTAATGGAAGTTTGAAACATAAATCCCATGCGCGGCAGCGAGGAGGGAATAGACGCCTCTGTCTCGAGCTTTGGATCTCTCAAACACAGCTTCGCAAGGGCTTTAATTGTACTTTCAAAAGAGCAGAATATGTCCGTTCCTATTTGTTTCTCCGGGAATAATTATGGTGCTCTGTGGCATAGTACTCACAGAGTTATTAGGCGTGTTTGGACAGAGGGTTATCTTATCTAAATTGGGTTGGAAATAGATTTATAGCCTGGCAACTTCCCAGTTGAAGTGCAAATTGCGAGAAATTTACTTCATCTGGCCCCTGTGCTCCTGCACTGCCCCAGTGACAGGAGCCCCTCTTTGGCACGAATTAGTGCCGGGTGATTTCCACAGAGCTGCAACCCAGCCGAGACAGGAGCTAAGACAGAGTTTAACAAACGATTGAACAGCCAGGAAAAAACAACCAAATCTCCTGCTTTTTCATCTCAGGCAGCGAGGAGGGATCTGGAAGCCCCCGTCTGCACAGCAGCTCTGTCCCATAACTTATGCGTGAGCTCTTGGGAGCATCCCCACACCTGCCTGTGCCTCCACCTCCCCTACCTTTCCTCTGGAAGAAAATTCATCCCTGCCTGCTCAGTGCTGCAGTGAAAGGGGTTGTACGAGTCGATACTATTTGGTGTTGATGCAGACATCTGCAGGGGGTAAGCACAGAGCCGGCTGGCCGAGCCAGACCTGCCGCCGCTGCGCACGGAGGTGGTGACTCAAATGTGCCGGTGCCCTGCAGGGTTCCTATCGCAGCGTAAGGAGGGTAATCAATATGCAAGCTAAAGCTGGCCGAGACGGAAACCATTTCTGAGCATCTCTTGCATGCACAAATAGAAAACCTCAGGCTTCTGAGCACACAGAAACTGGCCTTTATTATTGGCGGGAGATGTGACTTGGACGCGGCAGGATGTATCATCACGTCCTTGCGACTGCTGTCGAACTGCCGTGACAAATCCCCCCGTCTCTGAACTTCAGAGCACTTGCAATTAGGGGGTGCTCAACTGAAACCTGCCTCTGATTTCACATGCTCTGCTGCAGCTTTCCCTCCCTTCAGGGGAAGCATAAGCAGCTGGTCCCACTGTGGGATTCCAGGTTGATAATGCAAAGCTACCAGACCACAGGCAGATGAACATGTGGATCGAAAATACATGCCAGCCCTAGGATTTCACACGGACTGCCAATCGATTGCAGTCCTTCCAGCGTATCGAGCCTTACCCCTCTCTCAGACAGAGTAAGCCCCCTTTCACTGACTGACGGAAAGGTGGGGACCCTCAGCCGTACTGCTGTCTGCTGGCTTTGCACTTTAAAACTGCCTTTTAGTTGGCTAATTGCTTTGCAGATCTCCCTAATTGCAGATTCTCCCTGGGCACACATGTGTACAGGGCACAAGCATCTGAATAGCTCTCATGAGGGCATGAAGGCACGAGACTTAATGGCTGAGTGACTATTCCTGCCTCACTTCTCGCAGTCCCGCTGCTTTTATCAGTAGAACAAAATAATAATTCCGGGTTCACCCCCTTTCAACACTAATCCCAGTAAATTCCCTCACTCAGCCCGACCACCTGAAGTCTTCAAACTTGTTAGTTACCTGAGGATGCGGAGTCAGTCTGCAAAGGGTCTTTCTGGGATAATCTCAGCAGTTCTGGTAAGATTTCCCCCTCGCACGGGCCCAGCGAGCATTTCTGGCAGCACGGCACTGCTGAACGGTTTCCTGGGGTGGTGCATCAAGGAGAAACACACATGGCTCAGGTGGCAAAGTCAGGACAAACACGGCAAGCAGCTGGACCACATGGAAAGAAAGTGCTATTTCAGCATGCCCACAGGGCTTAGTAACAGGAATAAATAAGAGTTCTGATGTCACACCCAATTCTCTTTGACCTTGCTTCCTGGAATCCCTTTCGAACACATCATAAAACATTAAGAAAAAAACTTTTCAATCCCTCAGTGGTATATCCTCTCAGAGCAAATGCTGCAAAAAATACAGCTTGCTCCTTGAATATCCAGACTTTCCCAGACCTAGAACATGAATTCTGCCTCGACCACCTTCTAAAATGGCACATTATTTCTCCATTAATCCTCGGAGGACAGCTAAAGGACTACTATGAAACAAAACCATTATTTTGAGTAGTAGCATTAATTTCCTATTATACACACTAACACTGCCCGCAGACCAATACAGGTCCAGGGAAAGTCAGATTCCCGTTTCTCTTCAGCAGAATTATTGCAGGGTGCATGTTTCAGTGTTTGCCTGAGATACAGTGCAGTTTCCAGGCTGATGCCTTGCCTCGTCGGCGAAGTATCTCTCATGTAAGAGTATCTCCCACTCTGGGGGAAAATTGCCACAGATACGTGTAAGTTTACTCTGCACTTTCACATGTGTGTGCAGAGACACTCACACTTGTTCATGCACACGAATGAAAGTAGACATGTCTAAACCCTGCAAGAGAGAAAGAGCCTGTATGTGTGCGTATTCATGCCTCGCAGCTATAAGACAACTATATTTAGAGAGTTGTGTCATCCCAGAGGATGACACCATTAACAGGCAATGAAAGAGAAGCTATGGTTACTTTTCAGAGTTCGGCTCTTGCTCTAAAAAGAGGACTAATCGAAATGACCTTTCGTAGAGCATGCTACAGTCCGGCAGAGCAGCGGCACTTTTACGGGCTATGAGCCCGTAGCTCATAGCACTGCGGGACGTGCATGAGCCTCCCTCTCAGCTCCCTGCCCTCTTCCACTATGCCGCAAAGCCGAGAGCTAACAAACAAACACAAAACTTACTCCCCGTCAGCAGCCACCTGCTAAACCCGCTGGGGCAGATCCCACCGGCAAAGCCCCACGCCACCTCACTGCCTCGGACAACCTCACAGCTCGCCGTGCCCCCGGCTCAGCGCCACTCACCCAGCGAGCCCCGGCTCCAGAGGGAGGGCTGCTCCGTCCTTCCCTCGCTGCTCCTGGAGGAGGTGGTGGCGGTGGAGGTGGTGGTAGCGGTGGTGGTGGTGGTGGCAGCTCCTGCGGGTCCCTGCAGCCACTGAGGAGCGCATCACCTCCCGGCCGCAGCCCGCGGAGGTGGGTGCCCAGATGTTCCCCGCGCGGATTGGTCCAGCGGGAGCAGATGTTACCCGGTTGCTAGGAGCGTTGCTAGGAGCGCTGCTAGGAGACGGTGACGCTCTCTCCATCACTGGAGCGACTCGAGGCCGCGGGGAGGGAGGAGGAACGGGGAAGGAGGGAGGGGGAGGTCCCGCCACCGGGGTGCTCCGTGCTGCGCCGAGCCGAGCCGAGCCGAGCCGTGCTGTGCCGGGCGGGCCGCCGGGCTGCGGGGTGAGCCGGAGGATGGAGCAGATGCCGCAGTTCAGAGCTGGACAGGCGGTGAGGAGCTGCCTGAGACTCGCGGCAGAGGATGGGGATGTGAAACACCAAAAATGAGGCGGGGGGGGGGGGGGGTTGGAAGCAGCCCGACGGAGCGGGAGGGTGGGGGCATAAAACCTCCCTTCAGGGCCGACCGAAGGAGGCACGGAGAGGGTCGGCAGCCGGGGATTTGCTGAGTGCCCGTTGCGGCATTGAGAGGGCGAGAGCTCTGCTCACTTCAGGGCAAGACTGGGAAAAACACAACTCAGTGCCTGGAAAGGCTGGAGGGAGAGGCGAGTTCAGTTTGGTACTGCGGGCAGAGAGCCGAGCTCTTCTGCTCTACCTCTGGGTCATGCTTCTCTTCCCTCCCGAGTTACATTGCTCCCTTCTTCCTCCATTCCCGCATCAGATCCTCACACACCGTTTTTCCCATGAGCTTTCAGGATGTTCCACCACGGTGCCCTGGGTCTCACCCTGGCAAATACACCCGTGATCCCAAAGAGGCACTACGGCACTCTGCAATCCCATGGGCAGATATTGGATTGCTGCAGGAATAAAAGCTGCAGAGCAAAACAACCCAAATCTCCTCCCAAACAAAACAGCAGGTCACTGTGGGGTGGGACAACTACTGTGCCTCAGTCAGACAGCAGGATTTAACTGCTGAGCACCCTCCTTATGGCAATGGGTGGGATATCAGGCTCAGCCTATCCTCATAACCGAGGGTGCAGCCAGCAAGGCCCAGAAAAAATTTAAAAGGAGCAAATAAAATCATATCTGTCTAAGGGACAAGTGTGTGGACAAAGAGGGGAAATCCCTTTCCCAAAAATAATGGCAGATAGAAGAGTATGAAAAAAAAAATTTAAAAAAAATTCTTTTCTAAAAAACAGTTAGTACAGCCAACTATGTGTAGGGAACTTCCCTGGAAGAAATGAGGCATTCCCAGAGGAGTTGTACAAGTTGAAAAGGACTTGTACAAGATGATTTTTCTGGAAAGCCAAATTGGGGCCAATGGCTGCAGTGAGGTCATCAGCACAATACTATCTCAGATCAGTTCAAACGCCAAGCATGGGCTTTGCTCAGGACTTCTCTCCAAGAGGAAATCTTCTTAGACAATAATTATTTTTTTGTGCTTTCCAGCTGTGTCCATTTCCACACAACTACCATGGATGACACCGCAGCTCCTGAGAGACTCATGCTAATACCACAGCCAGCCCCATCATTCTATCCAGCCCATAAATCACGGAATGGTTTGGGTTGAAAGGGACCTTAAAGATCATCTTCTTCCAACCTCCCTGCCATGCAAAGGGACACTTCCCACCAGACCAGATTGTTCAGTGCCCCATCCAACCTGGATTTGAACTCTTCCAGGGATGGGGCAGCCACAACTTCTCTGGGCAACCGTGTTCCATCCTATTACTGAAAGTCACTCAGAGTTTCAGACAGCGACAAAACCAAGTCAAGGTGCTATTGGAGCACATTCATTTTAGCAGCATCTGAAGGTCCTGGGCAATCCAATCCCCTGTTCTCTTGGGATCTATAAGATGGTGTCCCACACATGTAACTTGGTATATCACTGCTGGTGGCACACATGGAGTTCCCCTCCCTCTGCTTGCTCCAGGATCTCTGTGAAGTCCCTGCAGAGGAGCACGCACCAGGCTTAGTCCTGCTCTCTCTTACATGGTAGGAATGGAAGCACACTTCAACTGGCAATCTCAATATCTCAACCAGATTTTAACAAACAGAGTCTTGGCAGGCCTGAGTCCCAGCTAACACACATCAATGCCCCCGACTCAAAGCACTTACTCCCTTGACTCTGAGCATCTGGCTGTGTTTGGTACTCAGTATGCACGAGCATGTGAATGCACTCATCTCTCCCGGTCTTTGCAGTTTGAGGAAAGATCACTCACGGCCACATACTTACTTCAAATTACCTCTGAAGCTCTGCTTCTTTTATTGAGAAGTCAAATGAACTCCAACTAATTTCAAATTTGAATTTTCTAGGACAATAGGAAGGCACTGGAATTTAATTGATTTTGATTACCTGCCTTATTATTATGCTGCCAGTTGCAGTAGTTCAGGTTGGTGTAATTTTAAATTTACTGTGAGATGAACCTGACATTTCTCTACTGCTGAATAGAGGACTTGAGCGATTTGTCAGCTCTTCACAAAGATGTCATCATTAATTCAGTAATATCACTTCTGTAAGCAGAGACAGAAAAGGAAGACACAGAAGCACCTACTCCATGCCTAAGATCTGAATGAACGACAGCCTCACTTTACTCCAACCTTCGTGAAATTGGCTGTTTTTTTTTTTTTTTTTCAACATTCAACACAGCTTCTGCTGCAAAGGTACATCATCCCCTCCCCTCTCAGCACACAAGCAGGACTTATTAGCAAGCAACAATTTACAGCCAAAAGGTCAGCTGTGTTTCTTCAGCTGGTTCCAAGAAGTATTTCCAACCCCAGATCAGCCCGGAAGAAATTCTTCCGCAATCCAAATGTAGCTGCTTTTCTTTGTCCGCTTTCCAGGGGGACAGAGAGTGCAGGGAAACAGATCCCCTGTCAGTGTAAACCAGCACTGCTCTGCTGGCTGAAAGGCACCTCCACCAAGATGAACAGCAGATACTCCGTCTCAAACCATCTCAATCCCCTTCCTCTTGCCGTGGGAGCATGAGAGGTCACCTCCCTTCCTCGTATGAAGAGGAGTTTTCCCCTTTGCCAGGGATGCCTGGTTGGGAATCACTGTCCAGCTGAATTGCAGAGTGTTTTCATGCAACGGAAATTAAACAGACCTGTGAACTGGGACCAAAGTCCCTATTGACAGTGATATTATTGGAGAAGATAAGACTTTAAATGCGTACTGCATAAGATAAAACCTGGACAGGCAGACAATGGAAGAGCAGCTTTTTTCTTTTGGTTTAGCCTGTCAAATCAGGATTGCCTGGCATAGTCAGTGTTATAACATATGTATTTTTTAAAATGCTTTAGAGCAATTTGGAATACAGAAGCCCAGAACACTAGCATCTACTTTACTTTAACTGTCTCAAAAAATTAGAAAAAAAATCAGTTCCTTCATTTCAAAACAGTTGTGTCTCCTCGAGTCAAGTGTTACAGAAAGAAATGAATTAAAATAATGAATTCAAGCACCAAACATTCAAAAGATGTGTGTACAAAAGCACCAGTCCTCTCAGGCAGCATATGCCTACACAGGTACTGTATTTCTAAACACAGCATGCGGAAGGTATTTTAAAAAAATAGAATATACCCAAAATGTTCACAATTTGTACCTGAAAACTTTCAGATGTGAGGAGCTACATCCTGGACCAAGTTTTGTCCCTGGCCTGGCATGCTCAGCTGCCTCCAGCAGACACAGACTCTCAAAAGCTTTCCCAGCCATTGGCTTGTCACAGCAAATGAAGATGAGTAGCTCCAGTTTCTGGACCCTGTTCATGCCTCCCAACAGTTGGTCAACCTCAGAGGAACTGGATGCCTAGGGAGGCTAATCCTGCCTGCATCTAGAATGAAGCCTTTGCATTTCATTTTAAAAGACCAGCTCTTTCTCTTTCTGCTCTTCCAGTACTAGAACTCTGTTTTTCTCCCCTGTCTCCCAGTTCATTGTACAAGAAAATTTGTTGGTATTTTAAAATTTGATAATTTATTTTTTTACCTTCTTGCACTTAAAATAAACTTAAAAAAAAACCTTCTGAAAAAAGCTGGGGAAGAACAGAACTAATGAAGTTCATTTTCCTACTTATTTGTACTCTTTATCCCCTACATCCTCCCCACTACCCCCAAACAAATTCCACCACATCCCTTTGGACACCCACAGCTCAGTCAGAGACAACACCAAAGGCAGCACATGCTGAAGCTCGGCTGGAGCTTTACACTGTCATGATGGACCAGCTGACCAACCCTTGGCCATCAAACCTACTCCTCTCTGCTTCCCTGTAAATGATCCTCTGCCAGCTGACAAAACTTGCAGAAGCAAAAGTGCCTTTGAGGCAGTTACCCTTCGCTCAAATGTGATTGAAATTGGCCAACCTGTTAAAAGTGATGATGGTGGAAGAGAGACTGGCGAGGAGACAGATGGCAGACAGCTCAGCTTTAGCCTCCACTGAGCTGATTGAGAAGTGGGAATGCTTTCACCCTCTCGTGAAAAATGATATCACTCTTTCGCTGAAATTCAAAACTTAGTTTCCTGACATTAAAAATGTGACTTTTCCAACTGGTCAAAATTAGGATGAAAAAAGGGACGTCTTGACAAAACAGTACTTGGTGCTTTGCCAAGGAACGAAGTCATTCTAAGCAAGGAATTAAAATGCAGCTGGAGGAAGAACAGGATAATCAGAGCGATAAAACATAACACAGCCAGGAGCCCAGTGAGACCCACACGAGCTCATGCTGAGCAGGGTTGTCCCAGCAGGAGCAGCAAGTGAATTGCTAAGCCCATCGAACTTGCACTAGTTGTCCACCAAGCACACAGAAATCCTGAGTCTTTGATTCCCAAATTTATGGGCAGCCTCACTAAGGCCAAGCTAACCAAGTGTTGGCATCAAGACTTACCCCCTGTCTCCCCGAGTTCTATGCCAGCAGCTTCATCATCATGTGTGCTGAGCTTGCACAGGGAAACAGGCAAGTCTGCCCAGAGGAGTGAAACAAACCCCAAGCTGGTTAGCCCTGCTCTGGGAACCAGCCTGAGAAAACTCACCCAGAGGCTGGGGACATTCCCATAAGGACATGGTGAGGCTGCAGGAAC